GGTGTATGTCTAGGTAAGTCTAACGTAAAAACTCACCATTGCTTTTTTATTAGACGGTGCCAACTATATAACTCTAGTCAGAAACCCTCACGAGTTTGTGTTTCTCAATTCCAAAAGTAAAAATTATTTATTGATTTCTTGTTATGAGTCATTATCAAAACATTATCAGAATTCATGAACGGCTATCCGAAATTCTAGCCAGAACTCAAAATTTATACATATCCATAATCTTAAAGCAAATTATACAATTCCAATTCCATAGTGGCGCGTAATTTTAAATCTGTGTATGCACACAAATTCGTTTCAACTTATTTTGGATAGCATAAACCTCAAGATTCGAAAAATTTGTGATTAAAAAAAGCTCTCTTTGATCATGCAACAGTATGCCACTGACCACAAATTTATAAGGTCGGTGGCAAACTTGTACTTTTGGATACCTACCATAAGAAGCTTCTTTAAAAAAATGTTTTGAAGATATATTCAATGTTCCAGACAAAATTTTCACCCTGTATACCACTTATGGTTTATGCCCGGTTTCACAAACGATGGTTAAGGTTAACCTACGATTAAAAATACTAGAACGTTACCCACCTTTGATTTTAATGTAAGATGGTTTCCAGTTTACTATTTTTTATCTAATTTGTGAAAGCGGGAAATGGTACGATAAACAATTATTTGTTCTAAATAATAACAGCCCTTATGCGCCGTTATGTTGCATTTGTGTAAGAAAATGTCGCATTGTGTACATTTTATGACACACCCCGTACCTATCTGAAAAAGTTGTATAATAGGGCGTTCACACCGATGGAAAGCCGTGAATAAGCGGCGGGCGGCGATCGAAATTTAAAGAGACGAAGGTTGCGATTTGCGAACGATCATTCGTAAGTAAGATTTCAACGAAGTTCCTTCGTTTCTTTAAGTGTTTATGGAGGTAGAGAAAGATTGAAAATTTTTGTTTTGTCAAGATTCTATTCATCCGTTCGACGTATGTATCTTTTCGTCTTTTTTATTTTCACGATCCTTGACATCATACCACTAAAGTGCAAAGATTAATCATGCACAGGCAAACAGGCACATGATGGAAAGTCGAGAACATAGCCGGCGATCAAAAAAGGATTGACGTCGAGTCGCCTTTGGAAGTTAACAACGATTTCTCATGTAAACAAAAATTCCAAAGGTGACTGGACAGCCAACTCTTTTTTGGTCGCATAGTACAAGCGAAGATAATAAATAATAAATTGAGTTGATAAAACTACCACATTTGATCGTCTCTCTATCCCGCTAATTCCAAGAGCTAAAACTAAAAAAAACCATTGAAAAACTGTAGCGCCCTTATACTATGCTATCAAAAATGAGTTTCCATCGAGTCACCTTTGGAATTTTTGTTTAGATGGGACTTGCCTTGAACTTCCAAAGGCGACTTGACCGCCACTCATTTTTGATCCCCCGTTATAAAAGAAGATAAAACAAATGCGCATGTAATTAATAAGAATAATATTGTCTTTATTCAACCAAATAACGTAAATAATAAATAACAATAAGAAACTAAAGTGATTATGATTATAACACCAGCAGTATTTAAAATAACGCCATTTGTTAATATATTTCTCATGTAAACAAAATGATCGAAAATATGTGTAATAACTCTATACTTGTGTCTTTTTTAAGTAGGGGCATAGTAATTTTCAGTTTTTCCAAAAATTGATTTTGACCGCTTTGGTTTCCTGATGAAATCCCCAAAGATGCAAAATATCGGTGATACCTATTGTAATTTTTTCGTCCTCGTTTAGGAGTGCGGTAGAGGACCATGCTTTCTTGCACGGTAGACAATGTTTTTTTTATTTCAAAACATTCGAATTTTGACTGTGCATTTGGATATTCTCTTGTGGTCCCACCATACAAACTTGTTATCAATTCACGTATTCCCGATATTAATGGAAAAATCGGTGCACCTCGCAACCAAATGAATCCTTCCCAATCAAATAAATGTCACCAAAAAAATTCTTCCGCATTCTAATTTAAAGTTAATTACGAACGCAAAGACATTGCATTGTTTTTTGGCTACGAAAAGGAGGATTAGTGTCAGGTACATAGAACGTTATTATGCGAGTGATAAAAGCCTTGATGACGACCTCTACATGCGATAGGGCTTGATCATAGAAACTTAATTTGTGTGAATTTTTAATGCAATAAAGCTTTAAACAGTATACAAAATATTACTTGTAAATGAAAACAAGTATTTAAATCAACATGTAAACAATCGAAGATTAAAAATTTGGTCCATCATTGCCTAGTGTAAGGGATAGACAGATTTGAAACATGATACATGGTATCATGGTTTGAAAGTCCTGACTGTCCAGAATGGTACCCATGTTTTTTGAGGGTATCGTCATTAACCATGCGCTTGAATGTGGAGATTCAACGGCGAGAAGGGGGATTTATGTTTATAGGTGTCTCACGATTTTTGACTCAATGGATTGATAACTGCGTAAGTGTTGACATTGTACCAAGCTTCCAGCGATTCCACTTGCAGGGGAAGGGAAACGTACCTAATCGTCATTTGAGAGGAGAAGTCTCAGTGCACCGTAAGTAGAACGGTCAGCGATTCTACACAATCGCGTTCCTCCGAATTTAATTGGTAAAGGTTGACTTGACGCCATTTTGTGTTGTTCAGTAGGAGATTAAATGTCTGCATAAGATTTAAGCGGTGAGTTGTATCAATTATACCTACCAAATAGGGAAGCTCTGAGAAAGTACGTAAACTTTTGAATAAACAAACAGTTCTTGTGTGACATGGGAATTCATTAGTTAGTCAAAATTTTCAATTGGTGATGTTTCTTTTCGAAGGTTTTTTCAAGACTGCAAAAATTGGAGAACCGAGTAGTTCAAAATTTGATCTGTTTATAACGGCTTGAAAATTATTAACTACTTGTTGATGAGGCTGGTTTGAACAAAAGAAAAGCTCCCATTTGTGTGTATTAACTTTTAAGTATTTTTCTGCTGCCAAGGATATGATCTCCAGGTTTTTTAACACAATTAGCAAAAGCCTCGTCGTACGTTTAGTTGCAAGGTATCTATTTATTTTTTGATGTAGAACAAGCAGGTCTAATTACATTTGTGTTAGAAAGAGCGAAAGGTGTACCACCACATAGAATCGGTAGAATTTCCTCACATACTCTTCCATCTAGTAGAAAATTGCACGCACTTTTATCAGCTTCACCTGCAGGTTTTGGAAATCATGGTTGACGTTTTTCAAATTCTTCAACGAAGAAAATTAATAAAATGCGATAAAGTAAGCAAATGGGAGTTCTAAATTCTGAGAACATTATGTGTGAGTGTGGGTTGATTAGTTGTGTCTAAAATTACGCACGTAACATAAGTGGAAAGGTTTTTATTTCTAATTAGGGAATACCATTCTGGGTTTTCATTTTTATATTTTTTCATTTCGGATACATTTTCAATACGGTACCAAAAAAATTCACTTCAAGCTCATTAATCAATGTTGATATCTCTGGTAGTGAAAGTCAGAGATAAATTTGACTTATCGTTGCCATAATTATTATAGCCGCGCCAGTTACCGTGGGAGTACTTACACTTTAAAGTAAGTAAACAACAATGAGTCACGATACTATAAATTCAAGCCCATTATACAATTATCATAGTACGTTACAAGGGTCTCGATGTTGAACTTTGTTTACTCCAACACACCATTGTTCACCACCGGTCTAAGGTAGTTAATGTGCTCTTCTAAATACTTTGCTTTTCAATTTCAGACCTGCTAGGACATTGTAATGGTGGTTGTGATTAATAATTCGCGAAGTTTATTTTTATACTCTTGTCGGTTTTCGAAACCCTTTCGTTGGACATAATCCCTAAAATTTAAAATTAATTTGCCAACTTTTCAAAATTACTCACACTTACGTTTCAGTAATTATGAAAGCAAAACCGTTGCCAAACATGGCTAATAAAGTAATTTTCTGGAGTAAAATATGTAATTTTTTCATAAGGATCTATATTTGATAATCCGAAACCTGAGTTTCTTCATTCATTTTGCACAACAGTTGATACTCGTCAAGATAATTAACCAAGCCAAAATTGCGTGTGTAGTTGCGTAAATTATTGGAACTCACCAAAATCGCAAAGGACAAAAGGAAGTGAAGGGTTGGAATGGTAAATACACTTGCGTCCCCTGTGAATTATACCTGCGATCCTACTTGTTTCTTAGTTAATTTCATTTTTCTCTGTTGAAAATTCGATTGGTGTATTTTCAAAATCGAAATGACTGCCAACTAAACGCCCGTGGCGTGTACAAACAAACTTGCTCAAAGAAAAGTGTCGTGAAATTTACTTTGTCATAAACTAGAACTTGTTTCTACTTCCTATCCATTCATAATAAACTTTTTTTTGTCAATAGAACTATAAAATCTGCCCATAAACTGCCGTTGTTGGCCAGTATCAACTTCAAAAATGAGCTCTCCGGTTAACCGCTAAGTGCCACAAGTGTGATCATTAATTTACGATTAGTTAGTTAACGTGATTGACGCGTGTAAATAATGGTCATGTGAAAAGTTTCGATGACAATGAATCGGGAATTTTAGCAAATTGAAAATGTGACTTATATTGAGAACATTAATCTTTTTGGACAAGCACATTCATAACATTTGCCCCAAGTTGCGTTCTTGTTTTCTCGCAAAAACGCGATATAAAAACCGCATTCATAATTAAGACATAATCGTTCACGCTCTGTTGACGATGCGACAATTGGCAACGAGGAATTCTCTTGTAAAACTGGTTATGAGTAGGGGGACACTTTACGATTCTTCATTATGCGCCATCTAATATTGTCGTAATACACAACATTTACTATACTAACGAGATTGTAACTTCCGGATTGGTTGTGGAAATTGTAGATTTATTCAATCAATTTTTCTAATTTGATACCTTTGTTCTTAGCGTCGACCAATTCTTTGTATTTGAACTAATATTGAATTTTGTTACAGAGCAACATCAAAAATTATATTATCAAATCTTCCGCCTAATTTGAGGTTCGAGGACATCGATCATTTATTGAGTCAACACGGTAGGGTAGTGTCCTGTGATAAGCTCACGTCAAAAGATCCAAGCACGCAAACCGTACAGATTACGTATGAATCTGCCGAACAAGCACAACAGTAAGTGTTTTTTTTTACTCTAATGGTAGTTTTAAAATATTTGTACATTTATCCGATCCGATTCGCGAAAATATGACTGTACAAATGTTTTTCACAAACATTGCTCTAAGTTTGTAGTTTTAATTTGTATCCTGTTTTCTCCTAATGACCATCATTTAATAAGCAAATGCGCGAGATTGGGCACAACTCCTATTTAATGTTGACTTCATACCGAATATGAATCTAATTTTTGATAATGACTGCAGAACCCAACTTGAACGTAGTTCTAATTTTGCCCAGAATGTTCCAATGCTAAACTTACAATAACCTGTTGAGTTTGAACCACAACGTTATGTAGATTTAGAGCTTATAAAGCAAGTCCTAGTACTTAAAGACAAAAACTCCATATACAAATTGAAATAGGGTCTAGATCTGAAGGATTAATGTGTGTTTCAAATAAGAGAATCAATAGATCGTCCATGTAGAAGATCAGCGTAACTAATCAAATCTTCCGCCCACTATAACTTGTTGAAAATGTATTCGATAAAGAAATTTTTTTTTGTTCACTGTAAGCTATGGGAATCAAGGTAGTACAAAATGGTGTCCTCTCGAATGAAGCAGACCTGAAGCACTAGAATGTCGGTTACTGATATTTTCTGGTCATGCTACTAAAACTACCCAGAACTAGCGAATAGACATCGGTCTCACCGAATGAACTTTTGAGTGATCTCCAAATTTAATTCGTACTATCTCAAATCGAAAATTAATACCAATTAATACCACGCACAAAATAAATTACCTAAAAATAATGAACAGAAGTTATTCAGCAAAATTAATAACTTTTTTTGCTTGAGCCACTACTTCACCAGACGCGAAATATTTACTGTCATTGTATCGCCTGGCGAGTTTATTAAATACTTTCAGAAGAAAGTGGAGGTTCACATCCAAGTTAATTTATCAAAAGAAAATAGTTTTAGATCACCGGTCGAGGCCGACTTCATTTTTAAAAACCAAAATATTCTTAAAATTCTATGCACAGGGCCTACGCTTAGAATAACTAAAATTCAAAAATGTTTATTGTTAATCACTCTTGCAACATCAATCCAGGGACACACTGTATATCGTAAATATCCAATATATTAGCATGATATTTTCGAACCCTCCCAAAAAGGATTTTTAAGTGAAAGCCTTACCTTCAAAATCATTTTTTCATTTTAAGACAAACTTTTTATGTTCACCGACCTATGGGTAACAGACAACTGCAAATTTAGGATGTTCGTTAGATGTTATGGGTTCCCTATCTACCGATGGCATCCAATAGGTCATCTCGATGCCATCAGTTACTGGTTCATATTTTCACGAAACTAATTTTTTAGTTAGAAAAGTTATTTTTAAAGTTATTCACATCGATCACAGAGCAATTGACGTACTTTATTGGTGTGAACAAATTAAACTGGGGTTGGGACCATGCGTTTTTAGGTTCGCACAAAAAAGACAAAACAGAAGCCGGACCTGAATTTTTGCACCAACATAATATGTCGCTATCTAGTAGGGCTTTGACGAAAATTAAATAACCTTGGTCTATTGTATATGGTGTTTAGTCAATAATCCGAGCTAAGGCGGTGGAGTTGGGATCATACATAATGATTTAGGTATATACTATATACATAGTATTTAGGTATGTACAGGGTGTAAATCGAAAAGTGGAACATAGGCGTTTAACATGGGAAATTACTTTTTCTTTGCGCAAACGTTTCCTAATTATTTTACGCAAAAATACTTCAAAAGTTATAGAGATATAAATTCTGCATCTAAATCATGTGAAACGATTATTCTACTTCTTCTTGTACGCGAAAAAATTAATTATAAAGATTCTGTTTTCACGAGTTTTTAGTCTAAGTAGCCATGGACTATATTTTTCTTTTATCATATCTATAACTTTTATTTGAAGTATTTTTGCGTAAAAAAGGAAACGTTTGCGCAAAGGAAAAGTAATTTCCCATGTTAAACGCCTATGTTCCACTTTTCGATTTACACCCTGTACATCTATAGGTAATTGGTATAGGTACATGTGTCGCTATTTCGTAGGTTTACGAGACAACAATAGTTAAGCTAGTTCTCGTTTGTATTAGATTCTTATTGTAAAGGGTGTTTTTTTAGAGGTATAGAACTTTAAAGTCAAAACACATAAAAATAATAGTAATGGCCATGGTATTGACTTTATTGCAAAGATAATTTTAAGGCATTAGTGTTTAAATAAACTTTCGGGCATATGGGCGCCACGGCTAGCGGCTCGAATGAAAGCGTAATCTGGAAGTCCAATTCTCAACCTTTGGGCTTTGGACTCGCGACTTCACATATCCCCACAGAAAATAAACTGATACAATGTAATATCCAATGATCTCCAGTATTACCATCACTTTTTAATTTTAACCTTGCATCTTCGATCTATATCAAATTCATGTCTTGGGGATTAAGATAATGCTTTTGGCCTTTTTTTCCTACGATCTCTGTGCATGAATAACGATTTTGACGCAGTTTTTCCTATAACTTTTGTTTCTGTTGAGCCAGCTTCCTGATGAACATCAATAGCGTCCTATCATAATGTGTACCTGTACACCAAATTTCAACATGATCGGCCACTTTTAAAAAGACGACGGAAAAAATTAAATGCTATATCTGTTATACCGAACACAGACGAACGGGCGGGCAAAAGGACTGGCAACCATACAAAACTCTAAAGGAATAATCCGTAGGTGTGATATCATGAAGGTCAATTCACAAGTCCATTACGTGAAATTATGCGCTCATCGCTTCCTGCAATAAATTGATGGTTTCCCGCACTATGTGGCATGGTGCACCGTCTTGTTGAAACCAAAACTCTTCCACATTGACGCCATTCAATTTTCAACTCATTTCAACGAAAAAGTCAGTAACCATGGACCTATAGCGCTCTTCATTATCTGTCACGTTCTGACTAAGATTATTTTCGAAGAAATAGGGGCCAAGGATTCCACCAGCCCATAAATCACACCAAACGTTCCGTTTTATGGATTTAACGGAGACTCAAAAATGGCTTTTGGATTTTCTTCACTCCAAATTCAGCAATTTTGTTTATTGGCGTACTCATTCAACAAAAAAATGAGCCCCATCGCCGAACACAATTTTGTGGAAAATTGAGGATCAAAAGCAATCTTATTTTTGGCTCCTGGTGGTAAGTAAGTCTATTTATGATGAAATGGCAAACCTTACCGAGTACAAATCAGCGGTCACTATTGCCAATCCGAATAACAAACCTCTAAAAAACATCCTAGTTAGGTACTTTTAGGTATTATGCAATAAAAAACGGAATCTCTATTCAATAGGCTTCGAGAAACAATAGAGTCTATTGTTTGTTGACTGACATCGGGTGATGAACGTACAAAATTTATCTGGTTGAGTGTAGGCATTGTTTAAATAAATGGTGTAGGTCAACGAAATATGTGTGACATCCACGTAATATAGTAATTTTCAATGGGGCTGTTGTTTTTAAGTTATTTTTTGTACTGTGTGGACTAAATCAACGTGTTTTGTCATTCATTTAAGGGCGCCAAACGCGACGAGGGTTAAAAAGTGATGGTACACCCTGAAACATGAAACAATTGAATTATTAATGGTTACCTTACCTTTATATGTGCACATTTTGGTTCTTGCACCATATTCTATACTTATTATTACCGTTATCGAGTAGTTGTTGCCTTCAACTACGTTTCGGGCACCTTCGGGATTAAAACAATAAACACTATACACTTTAAGCCCTTGGTATGTAATATACTATTAGCGCCTCGAAGTTTGTGTGTTGAATCAAATAAAGTTGCATTTCTTAATAACCGTGCGATAAACACACCGTTGAAATTTTTCAGTTAATGTTTCGGGAAAGAGGTGATTAACGACCTTTAAAATTAGTTAGGGTTGGTGGAAATAAAGACATTAACCAATTAAAAACTTAAACATCGGCATTTTGAAGTTAATTCGTCATTGTTGGCGTAAAAAAATCATTCAGTAATTAATTAGGGGATCATTCAAAGTTGGAAAAATGGATAGATGAGGTCTGGCAGCCATCGGGGAGAGATCGCAAGATTTGAATTAAAAAGGAACTTAAAATTCTTAAGTGTAAAATTATAAACCTAAATACAAGAAAGACTTCCTTCGAATGCGAAAGTAAATGTGGTGACTGAACGTGTCACCATTACGCTTTAAAGAAAAACAGTGTCGGATTTGTAGCGAATTAACCAAATCACATCAGGAGACGTTTAATTAAATAGTACAGTAGCGAAATTGTAACTAAAACTGTTGATAGTTCCAGTTCAATTGGCCTTATGGTTAGAGTTCGGGTTAGAGACTCTTCGAAGTAAATTTCCACTTGCAAGTGAAATTAACCACCGAAATCGAGCCCATTGTAATCAAGAAAAATTCCCACTTGCAGCAATACCCATTGTCAGAAGAATTCAATATCCACGGGTTTCCATATAACTCAAAAGATGCTAGTGATATGATTCTTTTTATTTCGATGCACATTAACCAAAAAACAATCGAATCTAATTTCCGTTCAGTCTTGTTAGTGTGGACGTAAAAATACATCGTCTCAACCACCCGTTTTGCACCCCACCTCAAACAGTGTTGTCGAGTGCATGGAAAACGCCACTAAATTCTGCGTTTGATGCTGTTTGAGCGATGCATAAAGCTGTATAAATCTAATACTTGTCCACTAGCCTTTGTAACGAAAAAAAAGCATGAAATTATGGAGATTTATCTCAAATTGACCAATTTTCCAAATTTAAATAATCGCAAAAGGTTAAGTTTTCCTACGATCCTTCATTGATGACGCAAACACGTTTTTGAAATAAAAGAATAGTAAAATTATTGGCGTGAAGAAAATTCAGTATGTAAAGAAAATGTTTTTTGTAGGGCTGTGACGCACCTCAATGGTGTTCAGCTGGATGGAAACCAAATCAAGGTGGAGCTAGCGATGGATAAAAGGGGAGGCCGCCGAGGTCCGAGAATTCCCGGCGGAGCTCCTTTCGGAAATCTTCCCGGCCAAAGTCGACAGACGGATTTTCCACTTCGTATACTTGTTCAGAGTGATATGGTAAGGATTTGCGAATCTCTTTTTTCAAATAACATTTTCTTTTTCTAACAAAAACCCACGCCTGAGCCTTCATGACTACATTTTTTTTACATAATTAAACAGTTATAGTAAGAGTGTATATTGGAATGCTATTGATGCCCAATTCACTATGCATATCTATCGAAATCTTAACATTTTTTCTCTTCCAATGTTTTTAAAACTGAAGTGAATAATAAAATCAGGAGACCATTTCAATTTCAAGGTGTAGGTAGGTCGTTTTTAGAATTACTTGAGAAACCTTACTATATTTTGCGAAACGATTTTACCCAATGGTAGTCACTGAAAGCAATTGCATCCTCGCGATTAAAACATGCAGTTCCTTTCGTACACAGTATGATATAGGTACCTATTCGTGGACATCTGATGAAAATAGAAATAATTCTTGGTTGTTTGGACAATCGGAATAGTCTATAAACATTTTACTTTCTTTGGTTGACGATAAACTTCACTCTGTCGCATTCGAAAACACTCCTTTTTCATAACCACGATAGCAATCTGTCTGGTCTGTATCTGGATCTGCCTGTTTTTAACAACTTTTTCACATCTAGGTAATCCATTCTTTTCTTACTCCTATATATTTCACGCACTGGTACTCTCACGTTCTCATTTACGAGATTATTTCTCTACATCCGCAAGCTTTTGATTAGAGATTTACTTGTCGTTTTTTTTACATCCTTATCAGTGTTTGTTCACGTTTATCGTGCATGTTTACATATTAACTCTTCCGACAGTTAGGCGCCACTTTACTCCTAGGTGTTGCACGAATCGTGTGCAAAATTTTGTTTAGCAGGGCGGGGGTTGTTTACAACTAATTAAAATTACGTTACCTCAGCTTCAGTTACAGTTTCCTTGTGCAACGTACCTATGCGTGTTTATTCTTGTCCACACAATATTCATACCATTAAATAGTATATTAAGATACAAGTGTATAATCAAGTCTTTAAAGCACGCGCAACGAGTTTAAGGGCACGACGCAAAGCGGAGTGCCTTTAACGTTGCAAGTGCTTTAAAGACCAATTATACACGTGTATCTTATAGTATTTTTTATTATACCTGCAGTATAATTTAAAAATAGGAAATACAATGAAGTCATATTGACGTTATACTCGAATACATGTCTAATTAAGTGGGCTGGGTGTTCGTAATTTCACGATTGCCATGGAAATGTCACTTGACGTTTGCTTATAAAAATCATCGTCTTTGTGAATTAAACGATTTCCGTTGAAAAAGATAATACACCGTCCATTAAATCGATTGTTGTAAAATCTAAACACACGTTGGTAGGTGTAAAATCCAACTCCAGTAAAGCCTATTATAAAGAATATGAAAAGTTGTTTCCATGGATGAAATAGGAAGTTACTTACGAATAAAGTCTTAAATGCATCCATAATGCTGGAATATATGAAGGAAATGTCAAAGGTATTTAAATCTTCTATATTTTGGTGCATTCATTCAAAACTTTAAAGCAATGCTGCGATTAAAAAGTGGAACAGATTTGGAAGCATACCCTAAATTACGCGCGTTTGTGAAAGCTTCAACCAAAGGATAGGTACAAAAGCCAAAGAATGTTCTGCATTTACAGAAAGCGACCTAAGAGGATTTTTTATTTCATCCAGATGACAGTTTCAAAAGTCATACTTGAAGTATCGTTACTTAGCAACTTTAAAGCACGTGTGTTTTAAAGGCCCTTTTTCGCACGCATTTGAGTGTTTAAAACGGAGATTGTGATCCAGGTATAATAAAAAAATATTCTATGCCCGATTTTGCTAGATCAATATGCGATGGATTAGGTTTTTAGTTACCTCTTATTTAGATTTATATCTACTTTGATGACCATTAGTCGCATTTCTACCAGTAGGTGCAGTACTGAATTTTAACAATCTGTAGGCAAATGAATTTAATACGGACAAAGGTCGCAAATGAACTATTTTCTGGATTTGTCGTCATCACATCCTGTACATGACTCGTGTGTCTATTGCTCGCCACATTGTCGACAACGTACCATATCCTCAATATTCTCCTCTCGGCTCTCCGCAAAGAAAGCAATACTATTCTTCCGAATCAAACGCAATATCCATCGTTTCTTCGGTTTGTGTTTTGAAATTTTTCCTCAGATGCTATACTAGGCTCCACCGTTCTTGTTTCTGTTTCAGTCTTTCTAAATCTTTTTTGTAAGGACTGGAAGTTAACACCATGGCTTTTTGAGCATCCTTACTCTTCCTATGTTGATATTTTTTTTCTTTTTGGCACTGAACTTAAAATATGAATGGGAACCTTTAATTTTGAACTTCCTTCTTAAAAAAATTGAATTACGTGTAAGGCCTTATGATACAGTTGGAAGAATATTTAACGAGTAGTGCCTCTAGTTTTGATTTGTGTCGTTTTTGTTACCAAAAAATGGGATTTATAGATAGTTGAATCTAAAATTTACTGTTCGAAATGACCATCTATCCACTCGATGGAAATCAATTAATTTTAGGCGTTGTTAGATAATGAATGAGCTTTCAAATTACGTATCGCCTGAACGGTTCGTCATATTTGTATATTTTATGGAGGTGGGCCAGTTGTGAATGATCCATAAGATACAATAGGCTGAGCTGTGAGGCGATATTAATATCTTAAAATTACAATTTTGGATCTCGAGTATATTGTTTGTGATAAGGCGTACTGACAATACTCAAGGAACAATGTCCTAATGACATTGATGGAAATTTAGGAGATGAATGCATTACAGTCAAATTATTTTATTAGTGAAAATTTTTGATGTGCGAGAAATGGTTTTTTTGTAGATTTTATTTTAAATAAAAAATGCTCAATTATATTTACTTCTCAGATATTTATAATTGCAATTGTAAATACATTAATGCAGGCACAGTTAAACCCCAATAAATCATCATTTTTTCTAGGCGAAAATGCTTGCTTTAAAACTATCGTATATAACCTGCCATTTATTATCATTCTGTTTCGAATTCCATGTCTTTATTATACTCGGACAGAAAAAAACACCCTTCCCCATCTCGCGAACTTCTTTTCCCAGGCTCTTTCAGACCAGGAGACTTTTCTCTAATAGTTAATGAACAGAATGTTCCAGTAGCCACATGATTTTAAGTCTTGCAATTAATTTAATCAATTATTTCATCTTTAGAACTTTATCTTAATATTTGGTATTTAGATGACCGAAGTTTAGTTAATTATGCCGAAGTACTCTTATCTGACTTTGAAAAAGTTATCAATTTAACAGATAAAATTGGTCTGGATTTAAATTTCTCCAAATTGTGATCTTCTTCTACTTGATGTACACGACTCTCGGGACCGACAAGAAATCCAAATTCCAACTTTTTAGGATTATCTTGTCGGTGGCGACAAAATATTTTTTAGACAAGAAATCCAAATTTTTTGGACAAAATATCCAAAAAGTTCGGAAATTTTTTGACAAGATATCCAAACTTTTTTAGACAAGAAATCCAAAAAGTTTGGAAAGTTTTCAACAAGATATCCAATTTTCAAATAGATAAAGGTACGCCGCTTTTTCGTGTATTTGATCATTACATATATGTTTTTAACAGTAGTTGTTTTCAGCGTGAGAGCTTTGTGCTTGTCAAAGTGCTGAGCTTTAAAAGTACTTATTAATTATAATTTTAATCAGGCATGAACCTTGTGTGGTACAAAAAATTCCGTATCAGCATTTCAGTTTCAGTGTTAAAACACGGCATAGCAATTAGCATTCAGTATGTTTTTATACAGCGTTTAATAGTGTAGTGTAGTTTAATAATTTATCTGCCCAAACCGAAACACTCTTTTTTTAAAAAATCACCGACATACCGCAGTATATTTTACTATAACTTATTACCCTAAACGATAAAAAGTAGCCGATCACTGCAGCAGTTCAAAACTAAAATACGTTTCCTAGCGACCAATGTTATTTACAATGAAGGCGAGTACCTCTCTGTATGTGAAAATGTTATTGTCTATTAAATGTTTGTTAGTCTGACGTTGTAATACAATTGTACATTGTTTTTTACGAAAAATAAAAATGAAATGAAATGAAAGAACTCATTTATTAGGCCCTAATTCTTTGACGCTGTATTAAAACATAAATGCTATGGCGTGCTTTAACACTGAAACTGAAATGTTTCGTACTGCACAAGGTTCATATGTGATTAAAGGCTTAAATAAAATTTGGATTTCTTGTCTAAAAAAGTTTGGATATCTTGTCAAAAAATTTCTGAACTTTTTGGATATTTTGTCCAAAAAATTTGGATTTCTTGTCTAAAAAAAATCGATATTTGGATATCTTGTCGCGCCACCGACAAGATATCCAAATCGGAGTTTCCAAATTGGTTGGATACTTTGTCGCTTTATTTGGATTTGGATAATTTGTCGATAAAAATTGGATATCTTGACGAAAACAATCCAAATTATTTGGATAATTTGTCCCTAAAAAGTTGGAATTTGGATTTCTTGTCGGTCTCCACGACTCTCGACCTAGGTTTTGAATATAATATTGGAAAAACTGCCATTATGATCTTTTACACAAATCTGAAGTTATTAGTAGTCACATAGCTTACCTATACTCTGATCAAGAACTGTCTTTTATCCCCTTTTTGGAAATTTCCTGATTTTCTTGATTCCATTCTAAATTCTTTACTTCGGTGCCACCGCCTTTACGGACTTTACCCATTAAATATGGTGCATTGGGAATTTGTCTTCTTCATGTTATTTGTTTCCCTGCTTTCTTGTCGTCGGTACATGGTGTTAAAAAGCTTGTTTCTGTATTATTATAATCCAATGATAATGAGCTCAATATTCACAATACAATGGAGCTTTGGCATAATAGAATATCAGGAACGAATGTGAAAAACCTATCATATACGGTTATACGCTACTTCTAACCTATGTAAAGAGAAAATTGCGGTTACAGGCGTTTACTTAATCATCGCACAAAATCTGTCGGTCTAATATAATTTATATTATAGTTAATAAGGACATTTCTAGATGTAAAATAAACGTTTTCCCTTAACAATCAACATACATACTACAAAGAAAAACACAGCTTGTGTTACCTACGCCTTATCCGTTTGTTGAGCAAATTTTCTTGTTGACGAAATTTAAAAGCCTTTGAAAATTTGTAGGTACTTCAGGTTAATTTTTTGTTGTCATCAGATTTTGAAATAGATAAGACCTTTCAGGACGTGGGGATTGATGGATTAATGTACTTTTTATAAGGGGTAGGTTTTATTCCTACGGTGAATTCTTGATTTCACCACTGATGGAGTTCCACATCATGAAATTTAAAATTAAAAAAAAACTACCCCTTGATAAGTAATTCATTAAATGTTTAATTGGCTTTATAACTTCAAAAACATACAATTACCTTTGTATATTGCGATTTTTTAAATTTAAAATTCTAATATTAAAGAGCTTTAAGTCTGTGACTCAAGTGTAGAGATGAACGAATTTTGCGAAAACGTTACATCCATTTTTTACATTTATTCAGCAGTTTTGAGGATACAGCAAAATACGTGTCTCAATGGGATAAAACTCAGCATTGTTCCTTACCTTATTCAGAGTAATAAGAGGGCTAAATGGAACAGGGTATGATTAAAGTTGTGAACTTTCTATTTCATTCCCCTGTACACACAAGAAATTGGACAAAATACTAATCTGCGTATGAGAATTTGATTTACCTACCTTTGTTTTTATCTGTGCGCAAATCTTAAATGACTAATACATAGGTAGAAACTGCGGGGATGCAACTTACTTATTTTTAAAATCTAATTATATTTGTTAAAGCTTTTGGCATGATCACTAACAACTAAAATATGTCTACTAATAAATTAGGAAATAAGAACTAATTTAAGATAACTAATTATGGAAGATTTGGGACCAATGAAACGTAATGTAATATTTTACCGCAAGCTTTAATACATATAAATAGATTTTTAAAAACAATGAGGCTGCATCCTCCAAATTTATATCCATTAACTACCAGCCATTAAAGACCCATATACATAGGTATATTCACTATTTTCAATTGGGGTTTACTGAATTTACCTAAATTTATACATAACGCCTAATTTTACGAAAAAATTAAGGCTATTTTAAATGAACGTCGCTTATATACTTCCCCCATCAAGTCATCAAGCCTTTGTGGCGTAAGAATCATTTTCTGAAATTGTTATAAGAATGTTTACCCCCAAATAGGACTAAAACTTTTCCTGCTTATAGCATATCAATATTTATTATTTGGCTCTAGGCATCGAATAAAAACAAATTCCATGTTCTTATGTGTATTGGGCAGTACCTACCTATTTTATGGCTTTCCATTCCTGGTTTTGCCCGTTCCTATTTAGCACCTTTTGTGCTGGCTTTTATGTTTACTGTGAAGGACGTGAAACATTTTATAGTGATTACATTCTTGTTTATAATTTACAAAATAATTCTTCGGCTGGCAGTTCCATTGATCTTTGGAAATCTCTTTTTTTGCTTGTTGTACGTGGAACCTACCTGTGTATTAATAACTAGTAATGTCTATATGAAAGCCGTGTTACCAAATTTGGAAAGTTTTATTACCGCTTATATTACGGAATTCCATAATTATATATGCCATTCATGTCACCTACTCTTAATGAACCATTTTTTACATTTTAAAGGATTGTAAATTTACGCGGCCAGTAGATCCTTTTACCATATACTGTAACCTGTAGTGTCCTTCAGCTTGGAAATTAGATTCATTTTATAACAAAACCTAAATTTGCTAGTATTTAAAGCATCTTGCTTTATTTTTCAAGATGTATTAGGATTTTAAAGCTTGCTATTTATAATTCCAGGTGGGGGCCATAATTGGTAGGCAGGGTTCGACGATAAGACAAATAACGCAACAAACAAGAGCACGAGTAGACGTACACCGTAAGGATAATGTAGGATCGTTAGAAAAAGCAATTACAATATATGGGAATCCGGAAAATTGCACGAACGCCTGCAAGCGTATTTTAGAAGTAATGCAACAAGAAGCAAACAACACGAATAAGGGGTAATAAGTAAATTTTTGGATCTTGTGAGCTTTTAGTTTACGCAGTTCTTTCCTTTAGCGAAATATCCTTAAAAATTTTGGCTCATAACAACTTAATCGGACGAATTATTGGCAAAGGAGGGAACACGATTAAAAGAATTATGCAAGAAACCGACACTAAAATTACCGTTTCAAGTATCAACGACATTAACTCTTTTAATTTAGAGCGTATCATTACTGTTAAGGGAAGCATCGATAATATGAGCAAATCGGAGGCGCAAATTAGTGCTAAACTTAGGCAGAGTTATGAGAATGACCTTCAGGCCATGGCACCTCAGACGATGATGTTCCCAGGTCTACATCCCATGGCTATGATGGCTACGGCAGGTAGTGGTAAGACTTTTTACTTTCATGCAATTGACATATTGGTTCAGGTATCGGATACGGATCCAGGGGTTTGTATGCAGGTCAAGCCCCATATCCAGGGATGTATCCGGCAGGAGCGCCGTCCGGTGCGGGCGACAGCCAGGAGACAACATTCTTATATATTCCTAATAACGCAGTCGGTGCTATTATTGGTACTAAAGGGTCACACATACGTAATATTATCCGTTTTTCTGGCGCGTCCGTCAAAATCGCTCCACTAGATGAAAGCAAACCGCAAGATACGCAAACGGAACGGAAAGTAACAATAGTGGGGTCCCCAGAAGCACAGTGGAAGGTAATTTTTTTTAACTGAAGTTTAACGCTAATCATAGATTTGCAGGCTCAGTATTTAATATTTGAGAAAATGCGCGAAGAGGGATTCGTAGCAGGATCGGATGATGTAAGGTTAACTGTTGAAATAATGGTTCCTAGTTCGCAGGTTGGTCGTATTATCGGTAAGGGTGGCCAAAATGTTCGTGAACTCCAAAGAGTAACTGGAAGTGTAATCAAACTGCCAGAACAAGGTTCATCGCCTCAAGAAGACGAAACCATAGTTCATATCATTGGTCCATTCTTTAGTGTTCAAGTAAGTGCAATTTTAATTATCATGGAGCGTCGAAAATCGCCTCTAAAATATGCTTACAAAATTTATAGCAAAATAAAGAAAACAATATTAAATCCATCGGAAATGAATAATTACAACATTTGTTGAGTGGATCATCTTTTTGCAAATTGGGAATACTATGGTATATATTTTAAGAATTATAATGGAGAATTATAGTAATCACCCTTTTACTACGAACAAAACGCGTATGAGGGTAGGTATAAGGGTTAAAGAAAGAAATTCGTCAAATGTGTTCGTTTATTGTACAATTCAAGAACTTTATTGGGTACAAAGTATAAATAACACTTTTTTGTTGTGTCCCTTGAAACCTTGTCTCATTATAAATCTGGCTTTGGGTGTCCCCATTACTTTACCTTAACTGATTTTAACATTTCCTAACAGCACAATATTTCACACCCAATAAAATTTCTTGGATTTCTTTGAACAAATGTTCATCGCGACTCGCGAGGGGCAGAACTGGTATTATAAGATTGGAACGTTCTCAGAATGGCAGGTTTACTTTTTGCTTATCTTGAGTGGGATCGAAGTGAAGTATATATTTGATTTTTGAAAACAAGCGTCAGATGAAACTTTCGAAAGTGTCAATCTTTTCATTTTTCATTGCTGGGAACTTCCATGTTTTTCAACACATTGACAGTGTAACTTGCTTGTGAATGTTTCCCTTATTTTTTATTCATCTTCAACTAAATAATGAATGAACTGTCAAACAAAAACCATGACGGTCACGCAAAAATATATCATATTGTTGTTTTATGGAGGGAACTTCGTAGGGTCTACTGCATTTCTTGTGTTAGGCAATTTAAAATGGAAAATGAAACTCTGCAATTCTCTGCATCTTCTTTAAATAGAGTTTCTATCTCTGATGAACAGTTTAGACCATACAAAACCATGTTTGATTAAAGACGCGGAATAAAAACTGTTTTAAATTGACTTTTTGAGAGCGTGTAGCGGTTGCAAATTCGAAAAAATTGGTAAGAATAAAAGTTGTAGAGAATTCATTGAATTTGTATTTAATTTTCTCCTATGATGAACCGTTTTTAATATACAAGCAGAAAACTCAAAAAATTGTACCTTTCTCTCACCTCCTCCCCTCGGCTACCCACCTAGGCACCAAGACTTTTAGTATGTTGATTACCGAAGCACTCTCAACAAGTTTTTGAAGGTATTGCTTAGGTCCCTGCTCACGCTCTGTACACCCCCCAATAGGTTTTTAAGGCATTTGATTAAATATGCAATATAAGCAAGGAAAGTTTGTATGATTATTACAAATAGCCCAGTTAAAATCCTACAAAAGGGTTTATTGTTTTAACGGCAATATTTGTTGCCCAATATGACTATCCTAGCCCCCCCCCCCCTCCACTCGTAGTTGTGCTTAAGTGGTGGAAGTTAAAAATGCGGTTAGATTGTATTAGGGCATTAAATTCTGCATTTAATGAGACCAGACGTCATTATTTTCCGCAACAACTAAAACGTAAATTCCCGTTCCGGTCGTGAAATCCTTTGTTAGTGCTCCCCTACAACCCTACATGCCAAATTTCAGCTTTTTACGCCCTGTAGTTTCGGCTTTGCGCTGTCTATCAGTTAGTAACGGTAGAGTTTTATAGAGTTGAGTATTTGGGCCCATCAGCGTCAAACCGCCAGACATCGGAGGTCACTCATATTTCTCCATGCCATAAGTGGATGCGACACCACTTCAGCAGGGCAAGAAGAAGGTGGTCACGTTATTGATCGAAGAAATCAAACCTTTCTTCGAACATGACGCTTAGGCTGAAGCTATTGCCGAGGCTGGCTTACGATTTTTGACTCTACGGAGGTTAGGCAGCACATACTTTAGATATTATATAGAGATTTGACATGTTTTTCAAAGCCCTTGTAAGTAAGTAAAATCCTTGCTAGGAAGTTTTACCTTTTCATTTTTGTGAACTATGATTGAACAGACACTAACTGATACTAGCCAAGGGGTGTTTCTGAAGATTGATATTCCACAGAAACGTCATTTTCTCAATTTGTAAAAATACCTAGTAATAGAGTTTGTAATTATTCATTTTGTGATGGGCCTAAAATGACCAGAGACTATTTTACTGCACTATATTAGTTATGACGGAGCAGTGAAGATGGCAATTAATTTGATCAATAAAATTACAGTCCGCTCAGCGACGTATACGAGCAATGGTGCTCCAATCGGTGGTACCACCTCAGGGTAGGCAACGAGGTCGACGGTCCTCGAAAGAACACGGAGAACCATCGGAAACATTGCCACAACCTCAGCCATAACGCATCTCTACTGCTCACTGCCTCATGCGCACGTTTTTGCATACCTTATTGTACATAACATCTCGAGGCCTTCCACTAGTGCAGTATCATTGTATCGTCGTCGTTATCTCATTCGTTTTAATGCGTGAGTGTAAAACATCGCATTTACCTCAAAACCAATTAAATACCTCTACAAGTGCATTTCTAACGCAACGTTTTAAAATGCGAATAATAATAACGATAGTAATATTTTATTGATTGTTACGCTTAGTTAGATTTTCTTTTTATTTAATTTGTTCGGTATTAAATTAAAATTTTAAATTTTGTTAATAATATTTTAGTGGAAAGTTAAGAGAGGAACTGGAATATGGTATCTTAAACAGCGTGTTGCTACACTTCAATCTACCTCATAAAATCAAAAATCTATTAGATACAAATAACTTACCATAGTAAATTTCCGCATATATACAGAACCCAACCATATTAACCTCAGTTTATAACAGATTTAAATACTTATATTTCACAATCTCATGGTGCATATTAATAGTAAATATATAACAGAATCAACGGAATAGAATACCAAAGACTTAATGGATTGTAAGAAATTTAATGGAGTAACAATTTGCATTATTTCTTGGTAGCCCAATAATCGACACTTACTGCTAAATTAAAACGACAAAAAGCTTAGAGCCGTTCGATCACAGAATAACACAGAAAACACATCACATGAAATGCTAGGCCATTAGAAATTCCAACCAGACGGCCAGAAAGTTCCTCGGCACATTTCTAAAGCAGTGTGTGACGCGGAAGGTCAGAAGATAAGGACAGAAGTTTGCTTTCTGCTTCGCATGCTGGAATTATTGTGGCTGTTGTTAAATTATCGGGTGTGAATGCGTGAATAAAACTATTCTTGGACGTTTATTTTGCTCGTTGTGTACTATAAGTGCGCGGTGAAGGCGACACGACGGGCGTTCACTCTAGGTCATCTACCAAGAATCGAAACTGTTTGAGTGTGAATGTGAAGACATTTTTTAACTATTACATTATTGTTAGGAGATTGTTAAAAAAATGTTCAAAATGTTTCTTAAAAAAATTTTTTGTAGACACACCGCCGTGACTATATTGTTTGTTTAAAGGCGTACGCGAGGTGTCTACAAAGAGCTGTGATTGTTACAAAATACTACCAGATAAGACGAGTGAGGCTTAGCTTCGCATTGGCCGATCCATCTTGCGTCAAGGTTGGTCGTGCCACGATAGTACAAACTCGGGAGGTATAGATAGGGCCTTTTGCGGCCAGTCGGTTCGTAGCCGGCATCTTGTAAAAAAAATTATTTTTGATAAAATTGTTTGTTGGGGAGGATATTTTTTGTTAGATTTTTAAAAATTTAAGATTAAATAGCGAAACCGCTATTTAGAAATTTGTGAAAAAAATGGATATATTATATAATATATATTTATTTATAAAAAAATTAAATTATTTGTACAGATTTTTAAAGTGTGCCAAAGTGCGAAATGTTACCAGATTTTTAGAAAAATTAAAATTTTTTCAAGGGTACATGTATTTATAAGGGCAGACTATGGCTTAACAAGCACACAACAGGAATGTGCAATTCCGCACAGTCATACTTTCTTTCGGACACAATCAAGTTAATCGTACAAATTGCGCGAGTACAAAAAAAGATGCTAGTTCTAAATTAACCATTACGCTAATTAGATCAATCCATTTATTTCACATAAAATATTTAACAAAATTTTGACCAACGAAAATCTAACACATCCGTATTTTCAAGTATAAAAAACAACAGTCTTGGGACAATAGAGTTAACAACAACTCTGTGCTGTATTTATTATATGTAATTGTATACCCCCCCCCCCCCCAAAGTAAACATGATTGTTATTTAAAGACATACAAATCTCCATCCGAGACGTCTCACCTTGGCCAACAATAAGTAGTCGGTCCTTCTATTTATACTTTACTTTAATTTGATAAAACGAAAGTTTCAACTTCTCGTTGGCCACTGTGACCGTTTCCAAAACATTAAAACTATCTATGCTGCGTTCTTGGCCCTCCAAGTAAGACTTTGATTCGCCACATTAAAAATTTAGTGACTGTATATCTAGATTTTGCCAATACAACACATAGTGGAACCTCTCCTGCATGTCAAAATCTGACCTGTTACATTTATACATTCATAATTCTGTGAAAACAGACAGAGGGGTGCAGGCCACAACTTGCTTTAAGAAATACCTACAAAATTCAGCCGATCCACAACCACGATATTTCAGTCGGTACTTACTACGTTGGTTGTTAGGTAACTGCTGCTAAAATTCGTATCTCGTTACGGATACTACATAATTACATATGTTAATCTAATAAATAGTGCCTAACCGAACCTGTTATTGTGAATAGTTTTGACGTTTGTTTCTATTTTTTGTCAGTTCGCAATTGGTGTATTTCCCGTTTTATTGTTAATACTTAATAGTATATTGCAGAAGAAGCATGGGCATTATTGTGAGAAAGAGTATATACTTTTATATATTTTAAAGTTTTATCACGGGATTTTGTTTTTTTTTGCATGTTATTGATCGTTTTCTCGCTCAAATATATTCACAAAACAGGAAAAATAAAAAAGATAGATATAGTTTAAATTGCATTTGATGGTTACTTCATATAAGTTGGTAGAATATTATTCAAACTTTAGGCTGCATTCTTTATATTATAGCAATGTTGTTATTTTGCAGTTGTAAAAATTGTTGATCGTTTCTCTAAAATTATTCAAACGTGATGTATCCAATTGTTAAGATAATCTTTCTAAAGCAACATTGTTAAGTAAAAAGAACTGGCCTAATTCTAAACCATAAATGCAAAGGTGTAATTATTACAATAGCTTAATGATGTTAATGGGTGTACATGAAATCAAAAATTATATCAATAGTTATAGTATGTGTTATTTCAACAGGTAAAAAGATTTACGCCTTTTTTCTTGAATGTACAATTACTTTTCAATTGCTATAGTTTAGAATACACGTTGCTGGACGGAGACTGACTTGCAAACCAGCCGTTGTAGATTTAATGCCTTAGTGTCGGATAAATTCATCACTGCACTAAACTAATGCACCTTGAAAATACAGCTTGTCTGTCTGTAAATTACATACTTAAATCAAATATGAGTTAACCTTATCCGACCTAAGAATAAACTACCTCAGTAATTAAATACGTTTCTATAAAAAGTAATTTGTTATTCATTTTTTTTTCTTTGGGTAGCAGTAATTTAAGATAAATTTTACTGGGAGAATACTATTTTAAGCAAAATCACAATTTTTGTAAATCTTACTCGAAATTCTTGTGTCAGTGTGCCATTCTTTTGTGTATGTCCATTGTGGTTTATTTTATAATCTTCACTGTGCAAATAGAGTTTTAATTTCTATTTACGTACCACATTATATACCTAGTGAAATTGTATCGAAATATCTTGTCAAACTTAAACATAATTAAAATTCTGGATGTGTTTACGTCAACTGTAATAGTAATATGAATGTGTTTAGTAGTGTCCATATGAATTTATTTCATAATCCTTGCAACGGGACTTTGGGAATGGTGTAATGAAATTTTTGCTCAGGTAATTAACTCAGGAGACTTTGCCGAATTATTATGTTATTGTAGGCGACTAATTACTGGAATTATCTCAAGTTGCATAATTATGAATAACTAATTATGGTTACATGCATTAAACACAAACAATATGTATATATACCTACCTTCGATATCTGTCATACACTTTTTACAGTTTATTGGCATACTTGTAACACTAACTTAAAAAATTCAATTATTTCAGTTCAATAAATAGTGTTCCCTTTATGTGACTTTCCTTTCTGCTTGTATTTGCCACCTAGTCCCATGTCTCAGCCATTGCCTGATCCCTGAAAAATTGTTCCGTGTGTTACTTTTAGAGTATTGGATTTGGTAACATTAACAAGTGATATTACAAATGTCGGACGCAATAAAACTAAACTGGTTTCTCTATTAACTCTTTCATTTGACTAACCCAATGATCAAACATGGTGGCCAGTGGTGTAGTATTGTTTAGTGGAATGGTGTAAAAAGTAACAAATCTTGTTGAAAGCATATTTTCTTTTGAGCAATTTGTTTAAATAAAAATTCATCATAAGGATGTGCGTGTCAAGACGAACCAGCTGCAAATACAATTTTACAGGTTCAAATATGATTAATGTCACAACTCCCGTTAGTGTAAACCTGCCAGATAAATTTCATTTTGCTACTCCCGGTACATGGACAGCATGGAGGAAGAGGTTCTAGAAGTGTGTGGGTATCAACTCAGCTGACCAAAACAGAAGAGGAAACATTTAATATTTTGATGTATATAATGGGCGAAAGCCTGAAAAAGTTTTGTTACAATTTTCAGAGCAGCCTCAATCTTATATTCAAGCCTTAGAGTGCTTTGAAAAATATCTGATTCCTCGTAGAAATATCTGGAAATACAATTTTTGAAAGGTTTCAATTTAACTCTATGGTTCAAAAAGAGAGTCAATCGAGGCATTTATCACAAATTTGCGTCTACTCCCAGAACATTGCAATTATGGCACTTTAAAAGAGGAACTTATTCAACATGCATCTTGAGAGCTAAGCAAACTGAAATACAACTATCGCAGTCAAGGGAGCTATCTAGTGGACAAGTGAGTCGAGTGCAGTGTCCTCAAGAAGTGGAAGTCCCAAAGTTCCATCAGGTGCGCCTGGCCAAGTAGGCGCAGTAGCCAAGATAGGGGAAAAGGCACATTTCAAAGCGGTAATATTGGAAGTGGTGACAAATGTCGGTTTTGTGACCTGTGGGTGACCTTCTGGGGATCGATGCCCAGCAGCTAAATCTGTTAAATGCAATGTGTTGATTATACTAAACTAAAGAAAGCAGTTCAACGTTCGCAATTTCCAATGGGAAAAGTGGAAACCATATTAGCTCAATTAAAAGATTCCAATGCTTTTACCAAGTTGGACACTAATTCAGGGTTTCTTCAAATTAAACTTCTAACATTGCAGTGATAGACGTTTAAAAATGATCACACAAAATATGCCGTTATCTTTCGGTCAAAAACGCCAGATATTTGAGATCAAAAGTGGCCAGTTTGGCAAAACGCTAATTTCATATGTTGCGACGAACATTCACGCCACGCGCACCAATGGTAGCTTCGGTCCTCCTTTACTAAAAAAAAATAAATAAACGGTATAATTACAAAAATGAAATTTAATGAAGGTAAGAAAATGGAACATTCAGCGGAAATTTACAAGTCAAAATCTATAAACGGTGGCGGTAGTCGACGGACCGGCGGCAGAAAACTGTGGAACGGAAGTGCTTCGGGCGCCACCAGAAGTTTTCGGTCTCTCTTGCTTCGCGGTGGCCGATGGTAAGCTCTAGGAATGCGAATGGAAAACGGCGGTCCCCGGAATTCTAAAGGGTAAGCGGTGGGCAGCTACTGGGCTAAAACAAACTTAAAGCGGGAACAGTAAGTCATCAGATTCAGTAACTGTTTCTATGGGAAACCAATTGCAGGAAAGCGAGACAATATCCTCCCGCTTACAATTAATGAAACGGAACGTAGCAAGCTTGCAATTAACGGAGCGGTAGCAATTACTGTGCAGGAAAAAGAAAAGCTACAGATAGGGTGCGGTACTTATACAACGTAACTGGCCTTGTATAAAATTCGGCTATGCCAGGGGGGTTTTAACCTACTCGACGGCGTGTCTTGGCGATCACGCTCGACAAGAACTTCTTTAATTAATTATGTCTTTTCCAGGCGTCTTAAAAATACGGCACTGGTGTCAAAATTCAAAAGTTTTAAGAGCGCTCATTTGAGATAAGGCCCATCCCGGCCCAATCGGATGGGTTTTTGCAACACATTTAAATGGCAATCGTTATAATTAATTGAGCGCATCCCAACTCAAATATTGGTTAATCCGATTAACACCTTTTTAATTGGAATGTCAGTGCAATCATCAGCTAGGTCAAGATAGCGCGCTGCTTAGCTGTGTTGTGCGACCTTCAGAGTCCATTGTTAATTGCCTATTGAAGCTAACCGGCGTCATGTTCCTCATGTCAAGGGCTGCTAAATGCTACAAAACAAATTTACATATTCCTTACGGACTTTGAAAACGGATGAATGAAATACGCCAAAGGTGGATAAATGGTATCAAGCTGATTTTAATGTTCCGCAAAAGGTTAAATGCATAAGAAGCAATTTTGTTTATGAAATTTTTCTATAGTTAGGTAGCCAAAAACTGTTTTTAAAGGAATATTCCATTTTAGAATTTGAAAGCGTGAGTGTGTGACTAAGAATAATATTGTATTTGTATAACCGTCCAGTCCTGTTGACTCAACTGTCAACTCTTAAGTTTCACGTTAGTTGTTGACCAGACGTGAAAGTGTGTCTTTAGGAAAAACTCACTGAGTGAGCTTCTTAATTAATTTTGTATAAATTACTAATCATATGTAATTCAATACCGCAGTAATACGGGGGGGATGTTGTACCACAATTTCATTTATTTCTTTACTTTAAAAATAATTACGTTGGGCCACTGCAAGGCGAAAGGTACCTAATTAACGGACTTAATTCAAAACATGTAAATGGCAACAACACTGAAGCAAAAACTTCTTAATCCCCAAAGGCAGATTGGATTTTGGTTATTGATGATTTTTTAGTTTTTAGTTTTTACACCAATCTTTTCATTCCTTAGTACTAGGGTCACAAACCCTCAAGGTTTTAATTGCACAATTGATCACATTACGTTGTTCACTCATTATTGTGTTATAACGGTTGGGAGATTTGGCGTTGCGTTTCCTCAAACCCGCCGCATAAACGGCCAACTAGCTCAGGGTTAAACAAGAAAATACAAGCTTGAGATCTGTCACAGCGGTAGTCGGTTCTGGGCATTAGAACTTCGTCCTCCGTTGCACTTACCAATATGGTTGAGCGCCACTAAAATGAAAAGTTACTAGGTTGTAAAAAGAGTACAAATCAATTCAGGTACCAAAAGAAATACTGATTTATTCAAACAAATGGTAAACATAAAAATTCTCCTTACAATGGAATAGCGTAACACACAAATATTCAAAATTCTTTGAGAAAAATTGGTTCAAATGAAAATGAACGCACATTACACGCCGAAACAAGACCCGAGGAGTATTTGGTGATCCTTTCTTTTTAAAATATACCAGTAGGTAAATCTAGTAACTGCTGCCAGGAAGTGGTTTTTTCTTATTTCATGTAATCGAGGTTCCCTCAAAACCTATCACTTGGTAAGCTTTATCAAAATATAAGTGAAACCGCTTGTAACAAAGACATCCTTTCTTTCCAAAATGAATTACTTGTGACTACCAGTTCCGTTTCAGTAAATAATAAAAACTAAGGTTTTCCTTTGAACTTCTTATCATTTAATTTATGTTTATAATCAAATAAAAATTTCCTGATATATTAGATGTGGTGGTTATAGGATAACAAAACCAATGTTCCCAAATACTGTACATCAGAGCAATTTTTTTTCATTAGACATTCATTCACAACATTTAGCAATGGTCACAACGAAATTCTTCTTGCTCGTTATTGTTCCATTGGTTGCAGTTCTCTGCACTGTAAATGGTAAGTACGGTTTTATGTTCATGTCTAAAAAGCTTATCTTAAATAAATTAGCACTTTGAGTGCATGTTAACTTTATGGACCTGCTTATTCACCTTCTGTTAAGATAAATTGACAAAGAGCTTCCATTGAAATTAATTGCCGATTACACTGGCACTAATTCTCATTATTAATTATTTTCAATTCGAACTACTGTCATGTCACTTACATCGTCAAGTAGGGAACCAGGAAGGGATTTTAGGTTCGGTTTCTTTGGAACTACACATAAAGTGCTATGTAGGTACAAATTCATCCCATCCCATCATGTTTCAATTGTGACATTAAAATAACATCACTTTTATTTCACAGCACAACAGCTTTGTCAAGGATTTGGTAAATGCGTACGTTTTTGCGATGTTCTCGAGGTTGGAGTGCACGGACTGTTTGGTGGACATGAAGGGTGTTCTTCAGGCCTGGTCTGTTGCCCTCACAGACTGTAGGAAAAAGTACAATCTAGTCGATCAATCAGCCTCCAATTACTTTGTGTTAACTTTTGCATTGAAATGAAATAACAATTTAGTGCACTGTAACTGCAGGTACACCTACATCTACTTGGTAGTAAATTACATTCAGCTATTCAGTGTGAAGTATACTGTCTGTACCAGTTTCCCAGTCTTAAGGAATGTTCCCATTTTATTTAGTTTTTCAAAGTTGCACATACAAAACCAACAGCATTACTTTCTGTACTAATTAATTTCGAAGTAGCATATGAAGTAATTGTAAATCCATTCTAACTTTACACTCATTTGACTCCGCAACAACTGGTTAAAATTTTATTGCACCTATAACTTATGCCAATTCTATATAAAACTCCTCAAAACTACTTGAATTACCGAAGTATTGAATTTTTGATACAAGGTTTTGGAAAGATCGATTTCATTTCCATGGCACCACTAAATATTCAGAGCAATTGAATGTAAATTTTTAATAAATCACGACGTGCGGTTATTCGCCGTTTGTTTCAGATTTGCATAAAGAACGAATCTTTTATTTTCTTCCAGTTCTCTAAGAAGGGCGACATTAACGAAAAAATAGAGACAGCTAGAGCTACATCTTTATGATTTTCGAAAATTCTTAAAGAAATCCACATTTCACTCATTGGGGTACAGGTAACCTTAATTTTTTTAAACAGTTTAAACCGTCGCATCTCTGGAAATTAAAAAAATTACAAAGGCAAAGATTGGCGTAAAGAAGGCAGCCCTTCATTTTGTATCTATAGACACAACGCATTTCCCCATTCAAGACATTGTCCTATTTCGTGGAATGGAAGACATTGACTCAAGCATGCACATCCCTTCCAGAGTTTAGGCCTCAATAATTTGGGAAAAGTAGGTAGAGTACCTACCTTCTAAAAAATTAATTTCTTTTTTACATTCTACAGTACAGCAGAAGGTGAATTTTTCATTAACGGTGTACGTATTTAAAGTAGGTAGGTAGGTAATATTATTTTAGCATGAGGTAAGCAAATGAATTCAGATTTAGTTGCACAAATCTGCATTTTAAGAAGTAGGTATGTATATAATGCGATGGGAATGAGACATTCGCTCTTTGAAAGCGGCCACGTACGTTAGTACCGTGCACTTATTGCGATTTATATAAAACCATTGGTGATAAAATTTGTTATTTTAAAAGCGAGTTGGTCCTATAGTTAAGGGCGAGGTGAATTATAAAATCCCCAGATACCAAATTTTGTCGAAATAAAAATGTTTGTCGCACCCCCTTTTAGGGGCGCGCTCTCTCGTGCTAGGAATTTTGAAAAAAATTTTGCCAATTCGGAAAGTGCATACCCAAAACCCTAGTGCCATCAGTTTTTGTAACTCTCATGGTTGCTGAGATGAAAATTAATGAAATGCAAATTTCTCAACTTTTTTTAAGGTGGTTCCTAAACGAAACACGTTGGACCCTCGGTTTATTTGGAAAACGTGCTTGTTTTGATCCCCTCTACCACCCAATTTTTTTACGTGCTATATGTAACACCCCTCAGAGATATTTATTTGGAATCACGGATCTATCTTCGAAATTAATAAAATGTATGTAAGCCTTGCGGAATAATAATTATTTCGAAAGCAATTACATAAACGGCAAAGAAATTTTTTCCGGGTCGTTCTGAGACAATTTTTTTTTCGATCCTCAAAAAAGGCAGTGTACAACCTTCCTTTTTTACCAAAAATCGACTACACCAAAATTTCTCGGGAAAACACTTTTTCTTATTAATTTTGATGCGTAGAATCCAAAACAATTCGTACTTTTTCCATCAGACTTCTCAATCAAAAGTTATAGACTAGAAACCAATTTCGAAAGAAAATTCAAAGGGCTGTAACTTTTGAACTAGTAGGCCAATCTTGGAACTGTTTGAAATTATGGATTCTACAGGCCAAATTCAACTGATTTGATCTGATTTATTTCATAAATATCTCAGCTCTTTTGGGATACGTACTTACCCATCACAAGATATTTTTTAATCTGACTTCACTTTTTAGCCGGTCTCAAGCAGTACCTACCTCCATCGCTAGCTATCTAAAACGACGACACTCTTCCGATGCGAAGACCGAAGGAACTAGTCAACTCTGCAATTGTCAACAAATCTTAGGTAGGACACGTTTACTGGATAATCTTATTGTTGTAGGGGTGAGTGATTCGGCGCTGTCGTCATCATCATTCCGGTCCATCCGTCATCGAGGATTACTAAGGTAGCTACTAGTAGTCAATCACTGCTAGTAGCTTCAATTGAGAACATACGTATCAAGTTATTTATTTTTTAAGTTATCACTGTTACAAGAAGATCTTTGTAATACAAATAAAGAAACTTATTTCATTTGTTCATCTGTAGAATAATATTGTACTTGCCCTAACTGCACTCGGCAGCCCCCCCCCCCCCCAGCAAAAATAACATTGAAAACTGTGAAAGCAAACGAAATTTTTTTAATTAAAAAGAGAATCTATATTTAAACTACTGATAAATACAATAAAAAAGTTTAAAATTTTTTTGTTTTTTTTAAACAATCCTTTTTAAATCAAGAAAATTTTTTGAAAACCTTTTTTGAATTCAAAAAACTTTTTTTGAATCACTTTTTTGAATTCAAAAAACTTTCTTGAATCACTTTTTTGAATTCAATTACTTGTAAACTTTTTCGAATCACTTTTTTGAATCACTCTTAACTTTTTTGAATCACTTTTTTTTAAATTTCTCTTAAAATCTCATATAAGCTTCTCTTACTTGATACTTGACACTCTTGATACGAATGAAAGATTGAGTGTTGGTAAGTTGTTTGGTCGCCCGATACCGCTTTGACGATTTCCTAAGATGGCATCGTTGCACCCTTCCTCTAGACGGAATGCGGCCTCAAAGGGGTTTAGGCCTAGTTGCACTGATCTGTAGCTTCACCAAGTGACTGGTATTTTCCATATTTCCAAAATCCCTTGTATATATTATATTATATTTTTTGTTTTGACAATAAATATTGCCAGGGATTTATGTTCATCTGGAAAGCGCCATCAAATCAAGTCATTTGCTGCGATTGACGCTACTTATGTAGAACTAGGTACCGTTGACGGCTGGAACACTCGTTGATGACAGTGTCGGATTTGATGTGGTGAATAGTGCTCATATCTGCTACAATAAGATATTATTCAGTAAACGCATAGGCTTTGTTTCATTGGTCCTACCTGAATGAATGTTGCGCTTTGCTGACGATCTCATCAGGGTTGATAAGCGACCAAGGTCCGTGCTAATTCGCTGCAGTTTTGGAATAGTGCCATCGTTTTGGATTGCTGGCGATTAGGTAGGTACTGCTACTGCTTGAAAACCGCGTCTAAAAAGTAAAATCGAATTAAGAAATTTCCCAAGCTCAATCAGGTAGGGATCTACATTTTGATGGGTGTGTTCTAGAGTAGAGAAAGTATAAAAGAAAGACACGAAATGTAGCGATAGGTTGTCAAATCTTTCAAATCCAAATCCTAAGCAATCGATTAGTGAACACGAAATTCGAAAACCTCTACCTTCGGAAAGTTTCATAATTTCGGATAGACAGACAGAATGTACTGATTTCTTTTGTTTTGCAGATTATTGCTCCCCATGTTAACTCAGAAGGTTTATAATGACACCAATCAAAAGGAGATTATTTGTGTGACTGTTATGCCTTAACATGATTTTATAACTTTTGATGTAGTGGTCCAATCTTGAAAGTTCTGATCGTTTAAGATTGTACAGACGAAAATCTGTGAGAAAAATATTAGACAATTACACGCAAGATTGTTACTGGACACTTGCGCAAAGTGTGTTCCAAAGCTAATGAATTTACGGAATCGAGCGCAGCACGTTCACTTTTTACAAACCTATCAAAATAGCCATTCTGATAGATTTTAACTTTCAGGATCCAAAAAAGGCAAAATCAATTAATCACATAAGGGTGACAACTTGAAAACTTACCACCCCCCATATCTTAGTAAATAAACGAGATATTTAAAAAAATCAAAATCCGTTTCGGTAATTTGGAGGGGGAATCACAATGACATAGTTGGCGACGCACCCCCTCCAACCCCCTGCGCCCCAGCCACCCCAACTTTTAAATCTTAAATAGTGACCCCCCATGTGTGATACGTCGTTGGAAAGCTCTGAAAAAATGCTTTCCAACCATACCAAATAGCATTACATTTAGGTTAGTAATTATCGTGCAAATCAAAAAATAAACTAATATGATACATTTGAAATCTGTCGTATTTAAAACGCAACCGGCGAACATAGACGAACTAAAACAGAGAATAATTCAAGAATGTCGAAATATTGCAAAACCAACATTTGAAAAGGTTCGACAAGAGTTTGAGAATAGATTATAACTGGCGATCAAAAATGAGTTGCTGTCGAGTCGGCTTTGGAAGTTCAAGTTAAATACGATTTTCCATGTTTATTTTTTGATTTGCACGATAATTACTAACCTAAATGTAATGCTATTTGGTATGGTTGGAAAGCATTTTTTCAGAGCTTTCCAACGACGTATCACACATGGGGGGTCACTATTTAAGATTTAAAAGTTGGGGTGGCTGGGGCGCAGGGGGTTGGAGGGGGTGCGTCGCCAACTATGTCATTGTGATTCCCCCTCCGAATTACCGAAACGGATTTTGATTTTTTTAAATATCTCGTTTATTTACTAAGATATGGGGGGTGGTAAGTTTTCAAATTGTCACCCTGTATATAGTTTTTATTGAAAACTACCCTGACAGTTACTTTCGACAAAGGTCAAACACTAAGACCTCTTTTTCCTAGAGGGTATTCCTACATTCCCGGTGCTACGATCGCCTCCAAAATATTTGGAGCAGCCTGGATGCATTTTGATACCCCATAAGCGAAAATGTGTAAGAAAAAACTGGAATATTTCCTTGCCACGAATGTGTAATTTTCTTGACTTTAATCACTATTTCCGCGCAATTTCAAAAAAGTGTTTTTCGAATGGACTTTAGAAACAAGACCGGTCTTTTCACGGTTTTTTGCCCGCTTTTGATCGAGTCGTCCAATTTTGTGGAATCTAAAATTCTAAACATAAAAATTCTACATGTCGAAATGTATGAAGAATCACTATCAATTTGAGACAAACCGGTTTTCAATGGATTTTACAGGCAAGAGCGGAGAACTGTTGGCAAAATTTAAAAAGAATTAATTGTATCTGTCTCTGTTGGGTTTTCACCATTACAGAGCGCTGAAATTAGAAGCCCAATCCCTTCACTAAGTTGTCAATGGAGATTAATTATTAACTGTAAACCGATTGTTACTGTATTTTTAATGGACATTATTGGTTTATTACATTGGCTGTATAAGTAGGTAGGTAGTACCTGCTGAAATTTAAATGTTTTTCTTATTGCAATTGAAATTGATGATATACAACAGAGTCTGGACTGTATGTGTAAATTGGTCCTGTAATTGGTTGAATATTTTGTAATTTCAACTGAGCAGAATAAGCCATTTTCTGGGCATCGTTAAATGACGTATAAGACACCCTTTGTAGTACTCCAGACGGATGGTACAAATAGTACGCACCTTCATCGACTTGTTCTTCGCCGCCCTCTACCAACTTTCCGCTTTTCTGCTCTTTGTTGTTTGATTGATTCGCGACCGCCTTTGGTGTGGTTTCTTCATGTTCCGGCGTCTCTGTAGAATCGTCTGTGGCATTTCTCTCTGCTTCTGGAACGATCGGTTGCGGAGAGTTATATACCTGTGGTATTTGTTCGAGCCTCGCAACTTGGTACCCCGAGAGCGGAAGAGGTACAAATTGGGCAGATTGCTGATACTGCTGCGGTTGCTGTGGCGTTAGAGCGTACCTCGCAAGGAATACCGGCTTTACAGGTGGTTCGGCAACGACGACGGCCAAAACTAAACCAAAAACTACGAAGAACTGCATTGTTGATTGAAGTGCAAGTAAGTACTGATTTAACCCTAGTGTTGCGCGGTATTTATACTTACGGTGTTCGATCTTGTGATTAACATAATTTCATATGCTTTAATATGTTTTGGGTTAAATTATATGACATTGACCCAGAAATGTATATTGCTGCATCTTCAAACATTGTATAGAATAATTGATAAGGTACCGACAAGCATGTTTTATGACAAGGCTAGTACGTGATGGACACTCCACACGCATTTGTATTCACGGTATAGATTCGAGTTATGGTTAGCATTTAATGAATTATGTTCTGAAAATCATTTTTCACCATGTTAACAGAAAATAAACACAAAATCATAAAGAGATGAAGATTTAGCAGAATAGATAGCTCCAAAAACTAAATTCTCCGTACAATAACTCTAAAGATAGTTATCACCATTATCTAGACTCCAGCAAACGAAATGGAAAGCTTTTATTAATAGGGACTGAAGAGGTTCAATTTCATCACAGAGAATCAGCATATGATCGCATCAAATCTCTCATATCAAAGAAATTTACCGTGAGCAAGTTACCATACTTCTTCCTACTATGGATTTAATTTTTTAGCTCATTTTTGCAAAAATTTTTTTTGTAAAAAGTAGCTTTTAATCTCACTTTGGCTGGCTGGCTGGCAGTAAATGCGCGCCCGTAGAAAAACGCTTGTAAAAAGACAAGGAGTGTACATGTAACTATCGGGGCCGTGTAATTAAGAACGTTAGGGATGGGGCTACAAGATTTGGAGTCGACGACATCTGGACGCCATCCCCGAGCGTATTATACTAACCTGGAGATTTTTCAGTTTTTATCTATCTTCTTCTACAGTTTTTCTCCGATTGTTTTCAAATTGGTGTCGTCGGGAAGATCTTGTCAACGCGCACAACTCCTGCGTGGCGGAATTTTGTTTTTTTTCCTAGGGGCGAAATAAACCACCTTTTGCGCGGCGCGCTTCGAGGGGTAGTCGACTTTGGGCGCCCAAAAGTTTCTTACAGCGCGAATCGCGGTCTCTCTTTCTCGTGTCACTAATAGAAGGTCGAGCTATGTGAAGTACCCAAAAGTTGAATACGATTTTATGCCGGGATTTTAGCGAAATCTACCAAAATGTGAATTACGAATGAACGGGACGTCGGAACTGTGTATCGACAAAGGGAATGTGGTAACCCCCGACGAGATCTTACTGATGGTGGAGTCGAAACTTCAAATCCGAATTGTTGCGGGTGATCAGAAGTGGGTGTCGACAAAGGGAATATGGTAACCCCCAAAGGATTTTAATGATGGTGGAGTCAAAACTTCAAACGCGAATTGCGAGTGCACGGTAAGTGAGAAAATGGTACCGACAAAGTGAACGTGGTAGCTTTCGGCAAGATCTTATTGATGGTGGAGTCAATATTGGCTAATAAAACACTGATCTGCCACACAAAAATGCGCTGAAGTCCCTTCGATCTCACACGAGGACTTTGATCATTTTTTTTGTTATCAGGGTGTGATACTTTTATATCTCACTCATAGCAATTTCCAGACTTACTGTGTTACATGTATTGTGTAGTGAGAGTAAATGATTTGATATTATTACATTGATGAATACGCTTGAGATAAAATTCTCAATCAATCTCATGAGAAACAATGACAGCTCTTAAAAAAACGATTTAGGTCGAAGAACGAATGTAGGACAGTGGTAAGTATTTTAATATAAACATGTAAACCTGCAGGTTTATTATAGGTACTTTATAATCAAATTTTCATGATTTTAAGTTGATTTGGTACCTTGATAATTTACAAAATCGAATCCTTTGCTAAGCCACTTCAGAACTAAGATAACAGCAAATTAAAGAAAGTTTGTACAAGACTTTGAAGTCGGTAGGATATGCGAAACCCTGTGAACATCAACAAATATGATGAGAATTATTATTTGTGTCTGACCGAACTGATGAAAATTAAGAACAAATCAGCTAAGGCGATTATTTAAATAGGGAAATTTAAAGTTATCGTCAGGGTTACCTAATAGTACACTGTGATAATGTTCCTAAATGAGTAGAATTTTGAAATTGTGAAGTGTAATTACACGCACCACACTCCACCCCAAATTATTAAATTGTACCACTTCCATCACTTGAGATTCATTATTAAACAAGCCTTAACAAAATTTTGTATGAGATTTATTATGAAAGCAGAAATTGACATTTGTTTACTGAGAATGAGTAGATGTAGTCCAATCAAATTAGACGTAAAAGTGGTAAATTGTTACAAAAGGTCCGGTAGAAGATTTTATTTTTCCAACTTGTTTAAATAGTAAAGAGAGACAAAAAAACAAGTCAGAAATTTTTGCAGATTTTTGACCAAAGAAATTTCTCCCGACGTCAATCGCATTGGTAAACTTGGATTTTTCTCTTTCTTTACCATTTAAACAAGTCGAAAAAATAAAATTTTCTACCGTACCTTTTGTAACCTTTATTCAAAGGTATTTACTTTTGAGATTAATTACTAAGTACATAAATTAATCACATGAAATACACATTTTTGTTATACAATTCTGACCACGTTTGTTCGTTATGGGGCCAATGAAAAGCAATTTTAAGAACTTTCCCACGATGTATCAAAAGTGCTGGGTTTCAACTAAAAGTAGTAGAGTCTGAAATTTCTTTTAGTGTTCACTGATTAAACTTATTTCTGGACCTCGCATATTACTAGATGAGGGTTACTATCTTGTTATCGTTAACTTACAAACGAACTGACTATTATATTTATTATCTATGCTACCTGCTACAGTTGGTTCATATTGTTTGTGAGCTGACATTTTGCGGTAAAAACAATCCCCCACCCTCCTTAGATTTTCAACGATAACAAATACACGTTTCTTATAAAATCATTTAGAGAAGCAAGCTAGGAAGCAAGTATTTCAACAATACCATTTTAGTAGTTATAATACAAATTCATTGATCTCGGTATTTTAACTCTGCCATGTATTTATATGTTAAATTGCATTCTACATGTTATAGATAATATTTCGTCTTACCAATCTAGTGATTTAACTCAGCGATATCTAATGATTGAATAAGAAAGTTAGAGGTTATAGCTAAAAACCCTACAAATCGATAAAAAAACGACATGCCCCGTTCTGTTAGAAGCTATAGTAAAAAAAATAATAAAGCAAGGTACTTCTAAGATTTTTGGAAAAACATGGTCGGTCTCAATGAGGAACGAATTTTCTTATAGATTTTCGCCTGAGGAGTCCAAAACATAACAATGCACTTGCGGAATTTTTATTTGTTTTGTGGGCTCTCAAAAAATTGGTTTTAGCTCTGATACGAATATTACAGTTAAAAATTCAATAGGTACAACCATTGAATAAAAACACTATAAGAAGCCTAACGCTTATGGAAGAAAGCGCGACAAATCTCACAAATCCCCTTGCACCCGCATTGGTTGTGACCTCCGAACTCTCTTTGCGGTAAATAGAGGAAAGCAAATTCATTCTTCTCAGTTCAAGAATCGACTCTATTGACAGTGTTCCCATTATATTCTCAGTTCAAACTCTGTCGCGCTTTATTTCCACGGGGTTAGGCTTCTTATAGTGTTTTTAATGGTACAACTGAATACCGAACGATCCTCGAGACCTTCACGCATCCATCATTTTAACGTAGCTGAAATAGCCACCTTTGTACCAATTTTCACAGCGATCGGAGAGCAAATTCAAAAATATAAAAGATCTCGAGGATCGTGAATAAATAATTCTTGAATATGAGCACAATGTTGTGTTTATCGAATAGATAAAGTTATTCAATACGATTACATAGTACTCTTCCTTATTATATAAATACCGTTATAGTTAAAGATCAAATTATTCATTTTCCCAGTACAGGTAGTGACTATTGTTAAAACGAAAGCCGACACATTGAAATATTTACTTATATAATGTTGATTGTTTCCCTTATTATGCAATAAATAAAATTTGTACTTCGGTAATTAAAATCATATAGTGTTGTTTAATTAATATGATAGGTAATACTAATACAGACAATATAAAACCTACAATTGTTTGTGTGATGATACATAAAACCATGCTCGTGTGGGAGAACCAAAAAGTCAAATTTGTCAGTACTATGTATTGATCGAAACTACGCAAAATATCAACTTCTCTTAAAGTGAGTATAAGATCTCATTACTTCATCCACTTACCCACCATCAACCACTGCTGCTGTTTTGATGCCTACTTTATAAGTTAAACAAGAATATTGATGTAGTCTAGTTATAGGGGTCGGCAACCTATTAAAACGGAAGAGTCAAAAGTTATAATTTACAAAACTTACAAATTTTTAAAATCACTAAAAATTTTCGATTCAATATTATAATATTTGGTTATATACAGGGTCCTACAACAGTGCGTCGGTCTTTCCTAGCTGATACCCGGTAAAAAAATATTTTGTGCAAATGTCAATGCGGATCTACAGAAATTATTTTTGAATGTACCATTTTTACGGTGTCAATAAATAAATAATTTTTTAAAGAGAACATCCTGCATATTTTTACTTGTATGAATGCCATTGTTCAAAGTGTCATAACTATTCTTTTTCAAATAAAACTACCACTATTTTATTTCGCTATTCGATTGTCTTTTGTGTTCTCTTCAATTTGTATAAGGGGTATTCCCATAGTTTTTAAGTTATTCAATATTTTTCACCAAAGTACCTACCATCGGAGTATGCTGTGAAAATAAAAAACAAAATAATACCGGAAATTAAAAAGTGAATTTCGAAAAAATGAACAAATTTGGAGTATAAATTTCTAAATCAGTATTTTTACAAATTGATATAAAGCCCAGGTTGCCGACCCCTGGCAGTAGAACAAAATATTTAAAGAAACACAACGAACTTAAGTCCTTGTTTGTTTCTAAGAAGTTCTAAAACAAATAGTTTTATGTTTATTTTTTGAAAATGCAAATTTATTTTTATACTTTTTGCATGCGTTTTTAACCTCTATGATTCCACAAGAGTTTGACTATTTATGGAATAATATCGAACAGAATTGGTATCGTTATTCCACATATCCACCAACTATCAGTTTATATGGTGGGTTCAATGACGCCTACAATAAACAAACCCGTACAAGGTAAGTAATCCGTAAGTTCGATACAAAATATCGATAATATGTTGACAGGCAAATCTTCAGAATCGTATTACCTTATCAATAATCATTCCCAAAAATGTTGATTAAAAAATACAGGGGGTCGAAATTATGTAGTGAGATCTTAGACTAAGACAATCGTCCCGCTGGGCTTTTGAAATACGGCCGCGATCTGGCAACTTGGAAAGTTTTTCCAGTAACACGCGTTGCTTTTTAAGGTGAATATTGTCTTGAATTTCATTTTTCTTAACTACACCCAGATTCGTTTATTATACCTACAGGAGTTTAATGTTCAGTTTTGTACGACTCCCGGTTTTACCGGAAAGGGCCTCACGCTTCTTTATTTTAAGCAGTATATCCTAATATTTATTCACTTTTTAAATTTAGACTAAATTTGATGCACCATTCACCTGATCCACAGATATACGTATACCTGTGCCTGATCCAACCGTTTTTCACACAAAATACATTGCAAAGAAGATATACCTACTAAGT